AAAGTGGTGAGTGGTGTAGGAGGGTGGAACTAACGTGAAAGTCCTATCGCGTATCAAAGAAACAGACAGGAAAACGGAAGTGCAGAAGAGATCTTAGCATCTATCAGTGTAGAAACCCATCTCCTTAACGTTCAGCAAACAGGGAAGATGAAAATGAACAAGCGGCATGGGCGGGATTACAGTCCACTTGATAGCAAGGTGATAGGGGGGAGATGGCAGCAACGAAGTCCTGTAGTCGGATGTGCTGTAAATAATAGGTATTAATGTTTCGTAGTAAGAATAGTTGGAGTCTAGAACAAAACCCGTCATTAATGGATTCCCAATTTTTCATTCGACAGAAGTAGATTTGGCCGCAGTAAACATATCCAAGCAGATGCCATCGTATCCTTCGGGTGTGTGGGTTGGCCGATACGGAATTTAAAAGATCTCTATCCATCGAAGCGATTGTGATAAGTAGACTGAAAGTTGCAGATGTCTGAGGTGGATCGAGGCAGCTGGACGCTGTTTGCGAAGCACCGTCGATATTCAATTGCGACGATAGAAGACACTTAGATGTTAATTTTATCGTCTATCCAATCGTCTGGAGAAAAGCCCACGACGTGCACTCGCAACAGTCGCAACCGAGGTTCAAGTGGAAATTAATCACAAATATAAACTCAGCAAAAACACAACAGAGCTGGGCTAGTGGTAGGGGTTCCAGAGCGCAGTCGAAAGGAGGCGTAAACCGAGAAGAAAAGCAGTGCAGTTGCCAGTGGCTCTCAACAGTTTGAAAGCATACAGATGCGGCCAAGTTAATATTTTTCGAAAACGGCACATACACTGGCCGGAGACGGGCCGCAGAGCTTTGACTTCACTAAACCACTCAGAGGAGTAAAGTCACCGCTTTTATAGAAATAACCTTGACAGAAACGAATAGTCAAAAGCTTAGAGAAGGAATCCTACAAGCATAAGGCTTGTATCTTGGCGTTAGCTTTGTCGTTTAAGTTAGCTCGTTATAGTCAATCGTGCCCGAATGCAGTTCAGACCGAGTTCCAAATCGCACCAGAGGTGAATAAAAACAAGGCAGATAATCAGGGAAGGGGGGAGGGGGGGGGTGCGTTCCTGTATAACATCGAATATTCAACGTCTGTTGTACCTACGCACATGAGAGTATTCGGGAGGCTTACTCCGCGCAGAATTGTATGCACGACCGGCAAACGGAAATGAGGTGTGAATGTCAAAGGTCACAGCCTTTGGCCACCAGAACTTACCTGCATGGACAAATTATCATTCTCCTTCTTTCTGGTTCGCGTATAGAAATCTGACGTTAGTACTTTTGGTCCTCTACTTTCCCAAAATTGCGATAGTAATTTCAGCACAATATAATCAGTCGCCGGGACCATCACAATTGCAGTAGTCAGGAAGAGAACCCATTGAAAGAACGTGTGAGATGGATTTCAAAGGAAGCAAGGTCCCAGAAAAGCCAGGGTCAATACTTACACCGGCCAAATGCACAACGCAGAAACGATCGGGCTCGCCTATATTCCTCCCCATCCTTCGTTAACACAAGGAATAGAAACGCTCCACCGTGATACAGATGGTCTTACGCTAAGGGTAAATATTCCTGCGTCATAACACTAACACAAACTGCGACCGCAATCGTACCCCTAACCTTACTGTAGTCCTCACTCTCGCCCTAGCTTTAATTCTAAAGTTATTTCCTTGAAGTTAGCGCAAAGTCAGCCCTAATACGAGCGAATCCGGCTCTCGCGTCCTGCCGAGGAGAGAGAGGGAGGCGGCATAGGGTCGATCTATAATCACAAAAACGATAATACAAAGCAGTATGGGCAATGCTACCATTTCAGCCTCTAGCACAGAATCAAAAAAGGAGACAGCTTTGTAATTTACTCAAAGTTTTAAATTACGCTCATTCAACGGTCAGATACTGTGGCAGTCGTACTTACCTCCTTCAATGATCACTTGATCGGCAGAACCCGGTTGATCCTGGATCCGGCGATGAGAAAAATCGAGACCCTCGGCGGACTGGTGCTGCAGCTTCCCGTAAGGGTCCACAGA